TCAGCTGTTTGTCGGCAGATCGGGGCAGTCTGGACGCGACGCGCCGACAAAGAAGCCTTTCTTCATCGGCACAGGTAAGCCTCGTGAAACCCTCTTCTGATCTGGCTAATCTACATGCCTCCGTCGAAGGAGGCATGTAGTCTAGACACACCCTAAGTCTGAGGCTCCTTTTGCTCTGTGTGGTGTGTCAGTGTTTGTGCATCTCAGAACAGCCCCACTCAAACAAACCACCAGGAATAGGTTTTATTCTGTATAGAGCACCGAACAGGATCACAGTTCAGCAAGCCCTCCTCTGCCTGATCTGGCTAATCTACATGCCTCCGTCGAAGGAGGCATGTAGTCTAGACACACCCTAAGTCTGAGGCTCCTTTTGCTCTGTGTGGTGTGTCAGTGTTTGTGCATCTCAGAACAGCCCCACTCAAACAAACCACCAGGAATAGGTTTTATTCTGTATAGAGCACCGAACAGGATCACAGTTCAGCAAGCCCTCCTCTGCCTGCAGCCTACATGCTCCCAGCTCAGTCCTTGCTGAGACCCTGCTGGGGCCAGAGGCTACATCCTGCCAGGAACCAGGAAGTTCACGCAGACTGTTTTATCGTCCATAACTTGTAACTCCCAGGGCTGCTGCTGAAGCCCACTGGGCCTTGGGCTGCAGATCGGCTGTGGATTGTCAATGGTGCGATGAAGGAGTTTAAGCTGGCGGCTGTAGGTGATAACTAGTGGTTTCCTTGTTGGGCTGGTCCTGAAGATGCAGATTCCTGGGTACTGTGTGGCTCTGTCAACCTCTTTCTTCACTTCCCCGGGTGTGTATTTAAGTTTGAAGGATACCTGATAAAGATCCTATAGGCGTTTGTCTCTGTGAGATTGGAGCAAATGCAATTCTATCGTAGGGCCTGGCTCTAAACTGAACCCGTTATATGTCCTGGATGGAAGCTAGAGACATGTAGGTAAGAATAACGGTCAGGAGGTTTCCGATACACGGTGGTGGTAGCGTGGCCATCATTTAATTGTACTGTAGTGTCAAGGAAGTGGATCTCTTATGTGGAGTGGTCCAGGCTAAGGTTGACGGTGGTCTAAAAGTTGTGGAAATCCCTGTGGAATTCTTCAAGGGTCTCCTTCCCAGGGGTCCATATGATGAAGATGTCATCAATGTAGCATAAGTAGAGGACTGGCATTAGGGAACCAGAGCTGAAGAAATGTTGTTCGAGATCAGCCATGAAGATGTTGGAGTACTGTGGGGCCATGCAGGTGCCCATGGTTGTGCTGCTGACCTGAAGTTATAAATTGTCCCCAAATCAGATATGACTTAACCAACCAAACAAACAATGAAAGTGTTAACGGTTCTTATCAGCCTCTTGTCATTAATTAGTCTTTAAGGTTCTACTAGACTGGGTTATTTTTTAGTTTTTCCTGTTATAGACTAACTTGGCTACCCCTCTGAAGCTTATCTACTCACTGTCTCTATTTTTTCTTCCTCCCCCCACTTTTTTTCTCCTTTTTTTTCATTTCTCCTCCCTCCCCCCACTTATTTATTCTCAGATTTGGACTTCTACACTCCTGTCCTCTGAAGAAGTGGGTTGTGCCCACGAAAGCTCATGATACCATATACATGTTTTGGTAGTCGTTAAGGTGCTACTAGACTATTTGTGGGGTGTTAAATCAGATATAGCTGTGGTGAGGAGAAAATCACAGAGTTCAGTCACCAGGTGTGTTGTGGCATCATTCGGGATAGCGTTCCTAACAGCTAATAACCCATCATTATGTGGAATGTTGGTGTTAAGAGCTTCTCCATCCATGATTGCAAGGATGGTGCTTTCAGGAGGATTATTGATATCCTGTAGCTTCCTTGGGGAATCAGTGGTGTCTGGAAGATATTTAGGAGTGTTGATAGCATAGGGTCTGAGGAAAGAATCAACAGAACTGGATCATCCAGCTGCTCCTAACATAACAGTTCTCTCCATTCACTTTCCATGACTTCATAAAATGGGCCACTCTCACAAATGGATAGCTAGCAATTGTATGCTTGAGTTATCATTGGTATCTCACACAGTGCTCAAGTAGGTCATGGAAATCCCAGATACGATATTTCAACAGGGTCAAGAGCTTACTGGGGTTCAAAGAGGGGCTGAATATGGGTCACCAGAAAATCAGATTTCAGTTGTGAGGATTTTCTGCAAAGTCTTGGAACGTCTATCAACAGTTCTGATTTGCAACCTGAAACAGGTCTAATTTCTGGGTCTTAGGAGGGGGTAGCTTTCCTGGGAACACTTCATCTCATGGCTGCCTATTGCAGGGTGTCCACTAATTCATCTGCAGGTTCTAGTACTAGCCACTGGATACTGGGCTACATGGACTACACGTCTCACCCAATCTGAAAGTCCCTAACTTCCTATCAGAGATGTAAATCCAAGATTGTTTTTGCTCATTTTCCTTGAGCTACTGGGGTTTCTTATGTTATAATTACCCTATACTTTCTGAGACGAGATTGATGTCTAGTAAAATATTGTCTAGTCTTTTATTCTTTTTTCTTTCAGGAAGGAAAATTCAAAACTCCTCGGATCTACCAAGTACATGATGTTAGCTGCCAACAACAGCAAATCCAATCCTGCAACATTCCTTCTCACGGGGATAGCAGGTCACGAAGACATCCATCTCTGGATTGCTATCCCCTTGTGCATTATTTATGCTACTGTGATAATGGGAAATACAGGTATTCTGTTCATTATAAAAACAGATCCAAGCCTCCATGAGCCCATGTACATATTCCTTTCCATTTTGGCCCTCACAGACCTTAGTGTATCAATGACAACCATGCCGACAACACTGAGCGTATTCTTGTTTAACTTTAGAGAGATCAACTTTGATGCCTGTTTGGCCCAGGTGTTCTTCAACCACTCACTTTCATACATTGAATCCTCTGTGCTCCTGTCGATGGCCTTTGACCGCTTCATTGCAATACGTGACCCACTGAGATACGCCTCCATCTTAACCACACCGAAAATAGCCAAGATGGGACTGGTGTGTGTGTTAAGAGGGGTGGCTGTAGCATTCCCATTCCCCTTTCTCCTGAAACGGTTCCCATACTGTCGAGCCAATGTCCTCTCCCATTCCTATTGTATGCACCAGGACATCATGAAGCTAGCTTGTGCGGACATCACAGTCAACAGTACCTATGGCTTCTTCGTAATACTCTCCACAGTGGGGCTAGACTCTTTGCTCATCCTCCTCTCTTATGTGATGATCCTCAAAACAGTGCTGAGCATCACATCCCGCACAGAGTGCCTCCGGGCCCTGAACACCTGTGTCTCCCACTTCTGTGCCATCCTGCTCTTCTACATACCAATGCTCGGTCTGTCTTCGATACACAGATTTGGGAGTAGCTCATCTCAGTGGCTTCAGTTACTCTTTGAATACATCTACCTGCTGGTGCCACACCTGATGAACCCGATCGTGTACAGCGTGAAATGCAAACACCTGCGTATGAGGATCATCAGGGTGTTCGTCAAGTGAAGGGTTAGCTCATCCAATGGATCCAGTTGTGGTGATGAGGGAGACGAAAAATATGAACCACATGCACCTCTTCCATTCTTGTCCCCAACAGCTGAGATTATATGAGCTACTGGTCTCCACTCCACGGAGAGAGGCTCAGATGGGCTCTAAGGTCTGGACCCATGGGCAGGGTGGTTTTGAGGGTGGAATTTTTGACGATGGGAGGCACCAGCATTTACACAGTGACAGTGTTCAAGGAGTGCCAGGGGATAGCTAGGTTAATGGTGTATAAAAAGACATCTTGGTGGCTGCTCTGACTTCTGTATTTCTCTCAATACAGCTCTCTTGAGAAGGGATTTGTGTGTTGATTCCCATGCAGGAGACCCAGGACAAGATGTTCAGGGAGCCCCATTGATATTTCTGCACACAACACACCCGCTGAGCCTGCTCCTCACTGGGAGAGCAGAAGGAAGGGGGGGTGGTTCTGGCACACAGGAATCTGGTGGGAAACTCAAGCCCAGATTCCCTCCCCAGCCTCTCCATTTGTGCTTTCCAGCATTGCAAAGGGTGGGACATCATCCCTTTCTCCCCCACAGAGGCCCCTCTAGGTCCTCTCCCAACCCAGCCCATTTAGAATAGGGTGATCCCATGTTTAAAAGGCAAAAGCAGGACCCCATCCACTCTGGACCCCCTCTGCTATTCTCTTCATAGCGCTTCCCCCACCATTTCTCTCCCCTGAGGCCCACCCCCTGCTCCTGACCTTCCCCCCCATCCCCACCCTCTGACCCACTGGCCATGGTAAGAGCTTCTCAGGGAGTCATGATCTTCAACCTACTTTGGGTGAGGGGGTGGGGGCATGAACAGCCCTTAGCCCATGTTCATGCTCCCTCCCAAAACACACCACCATGGGAAGGTGGAGAGTTTGGGGCTTCCCACAGCAGGCTGGCTTCCCTGATCAGCTATTACAATATCCCGTCTCTAGCCTTACTGGGGACCAGGACCTCAGAGAATAGGAGGAGAAGGGTGATGTGGCCTGGGGGAAGAAATGTTGTGGGGTGAGGTCTCAGGGGAAAAGGAGGGGCAGGAAATGTGGCAAGACTGAACTAATCCTGACCCCAGCAAGCAGGACGGTGGGGGTCCTGAGTCCAGGAGGCAGATAGGGCTGGGAAAGAGGAGACTTTGTGTTCTGTAGAAAACTTAATTAATGTGACCACACAAAGGGTGCTCTGGTTTTCAGTATTCCAATCTGGGAGTAAGTCATTGCAAGTGTAACCCACATTCCCAAAATAGTGGTTCTCAAAGTTTTTGGCCCATGGCCCATTCCGCTCAATGCAAACGTCTCTGTGAGCCACCAGTTGCTAATGGAAACTTGCTGTTAATTACATAATTAAGCCTGAGCAATTTTGCTAGTGATGCAGCTAGAGAGAACAGTTTAATTTAGCCAGTAAGAAGGGAAATATTAATCAAAATGATTAAAGCGATTAAGCACTTTAACTTTCGCATTTTAGTTTATCGAACTTCATTTTAAACAATGTTAAATGTTAATTTATGTCCAGCTCAAACGATTTCAACATTGTTCTTATTAATGGCAGTGCTATTTGGTATCAGAGGCCACTGACCCACAGAAAATAATCCATCAGGGACCACACAAGTGAGAAGCAAAAAAAAAAACACCTTCACCCCCCCCCAACTCTCACTGAGGTACCCCCCAACTGAGACACCTCACTTCCCTGGTTCTCCATCCCCCATACGAGGATTGAGGTTCAGGGCTTCTCTTTGGCCAGATTTACTCTTCTGGGGTTCTGAGCTTAGTGGATTTTATGGAACACCCCCAGGTTTTGGGGTGGGGACAAAAATGAAGCATTCATTTTGCAGGACAGGTTGCAGTGAGTGGGATAGGAATGGGGGTGCAGGATCAGGGCAGTAGGTGGGGTTCAGGAGGGGGTGAAGGTGCAAGGTCTGGGTGGGAGGTAGGGTGCAGGAGCAGGCTAGGAGTGTGGTCTCTGGCCAGGGAGAATGGTGAAAGAGTAAGGGAGGGTGAAGGAGCAGTAGCAGGGGGTAGAGTGTCTAGCTAGGGAGGAGGGTACAGGAGTAATCTGGGGTAGGATGTCTGTCCAGGGGAGAAGGTGCAGAAGTAGGCTGGGAGTAGGGTGTATGGGTAGAGGGGAGTGTTCAGGAGCAAAGAATGGTGCAGGAGCAGGTAGGGGGTAGAGTGTCTGGCCTGGGGAGAGGGTTTAGGATCAGACTGGAGATGTGGGGATGAGAGGAATGGGGCTACAGAGTATGGGCATGAGGGGAACAGGGGACTTATCTGACTTTGTACCACCCTTCGCTCCCAGGCACCGTGCCCGGGCACAACCTCCCACTGCTCCCATTGGCTGGATTCCAGCCAGTCAGGGGACGGGGAGG